TGAAAGAATCTGTTAACCTGAAAGTGATAAATACTGCCTATTATTCTACAGTGCATGCTACAAAAATGTTAAACAGTTCATAACTATTTAGCACTTACTAATAATATCTAGGATCTATTAAGTCATCAATTAAGAATTCAACAACTTGAGGCAAAAAATGATAATGACAAAGGATTTCAAAGACACCTTTAATTTTTATTGCACTTCTTTTGTTGAATAGTTATTCTTGACTTTCCAGTACAGTGAGCATAGAGCGGATTTCGTATGAGTGGGACACCGTTACCGCACGGTTACTGCACAGTTACCGCACCTGGCCTGCAGAATTTTGGTGAAACAATGGGGCACTAGAATTTAGTTACAGTACGATTACGGTCACCGTACAGTACCGTCTGTTTCCCACTCATACGAAATCCGCTCTAAAATAAATAATATGTGATTAGTGTTCCTTGACGCCTCGGTTCAATGCTTTGTTTGTTTTCACTGAACCTGACGTATGGAAAGTGAATTGTGCATAGTCTGCTGATAGGTTTCCTAGACATACACCGATACCTGTTTATTTTTTCCCCTCATGTAGATACCTACAGATTAGTCATAAGACTTACTCTTTAAGTTGACTGCCATTTTCTTTTGCAGTTTTGTTGCTGAATTCGGTAGCATCATAGAGTGTCTTCATGCTGAAAAATTATTTATATTTTATTAAAAGTACTAATGTTAAAGGAGGCTATTGTTTTTGCAAGGCCCGAAGAAAGTATTTCTTCCAATTTATGTATTCTATGTTTCACCTGCCACAATTTATAATTATAATAGTTTCCTTAGAAATCCTATTTGGCTCATGAGAGGGGACTTGTTCCCCACTAAGAAATGAAGGGTTTCATCTCCTCAGTGATATTGAGGAAGACAGGAAGCCCAATAGGTAGAAAAAAGAGCAGAAAKGAAGGGAGATGCCTATGGGGTAKGGGGTTAGGCTAACAATGACATACTGTCTTTCCATTTCTTGTAACATTTGCTCTGACATTGCTTCMTCTGAGATTCCATTTGATGGCAGACCCAGCGATGGAAGATCAGTTCCAACTGATGATGACGAAGGTACTGCAACTGTTTTCATGGCTTCGCATAACCTGGTCAGAATACTTTGGTACTTTTCTTGACATTCATTTTGAAACTATGAATGAGTGCATGGTATTATTAGGACAAATATGTTTCCATTAATGATTATCTAGCTATATCTTATAACTGAATTAATKTTTGAAAAGAGAATGATGAAAGGCAGCAAAATTGCTTCAACAGGGTTTGTACAGGTTTTGGAAAGTTTTGGAAATTTTTCAGRACCTGGAAAGTTTTGGAAAAACTTTCTTTTAAACATTGGGCTATGGAAAAGTTTTGGATTTTTTCTAAATATCCCACCTTGAAAGAAAGGTTTCTGTTGTCCTGTCAATTCATTTCAATAAAAAATGCGAGCGATTTTTTGCTCAATAAATTCATCTTTTTTTCCGAAAATTAAAAAACCCCTGACAATTCGGTCGTCAGATTTACCTTTGAGAGCAAATTTACTACCAATCCAGTTGATTAAGTGTACAGCAGATTCCTTCAAGATCGACCAACATGGACAGAATTCTATTTTATATGTGTTGGAAATTTAGGTTGATGGCTGTGGAAAGGTTTTGGAAATTTTAACTCGGGGAATCTGTACAAACCCTGCTTCAAGCATGTTTTTAGTAAACTAATTGCCAAACTTACAGCCTCTAGTGTTACTACATGAGCTTCGTCAGCTGGTGCTATTCTCAGCAACTGATCTTTCAGTCGGCATGCTTCTGTTTGGTAAAGATCCACTTCTCTGATAAATAAATTTTAATTAATTAAAATTAAGTTTTTAATTATTTCAATTATTAATTAAAATTATTAATTAATGTTCTTGTAAATACTTCTCTGAAAACACCTTCAATATATATATAATAGCCAACACTGACTATACATTCTTGAGAAATAAAATCTAGGGTAGACATATCTTGATATTTTGCTAACGTTGACAAATTATGCATAGTTTATGCAAACATGCAAGTTAAGAAAAATATATAGTCTGATGCATTCAGTAGGTAAACACTCTGTACAACTTACTTGTAAAGATCAATAAAGTTGTGATATGTTTTCACTCTGTGATCAAACATTTGGTTTGTTGCATCAGTAACTTTATCAGTCAACTGTCCAAGCCTTTTCCTGATTGAAATAAAACATTTGCTAAGCCATCGCTGAAAGTAAATGTCCAATTTTTTTGAATTTGAAAGTTTGATTTAAGCTCAATAGAACGATTTCACATAACGATACAAAAAATGCAAATAGGTTTATTTTATGCAAATTTATTAACTGTAAAATGAATTCACGTGATGATGCAATACAGACTTAATTCTCTCACTTATTGCAGCTTTTTTGCTACTTTATATTATCATTACATCACAACAAAACACGAACATTTCATTTTCCGAGCAGACTTGACATGCTTCAGTCTTTGTGCCAAACTTTGCTATAATTGTTATCGTAGCACATGCAGAACTGTACCATGCAGCATCTAGTACAAGCTTAGCTTCAAATATTTTCAGGTTTGGCACCTCTTTCGGCCAAAAATACTACAAGATCAATGGCAGGAGGGAGTAACCACCTAGGGTGTCTCTTGCGTGTGAACTACTTTTTTGAGAAAGCCAAGCAAAGGCTGGCCAACAAAAAGTCAAGTCCGTAATTATATTTGGACTCAATAAAACCTGTTTTGTTTTGCTTGTGATGAATAACAATAAAATCAGTCAATAAAATTTGCATAAGATAAACCTATTTGCGTTTTTTGTATCGTTATGTGAAATCGTTCTAATARCCCYAAAACACCTGAAGTAAATTGTAACCCCAGAGCGCTACTCTAAATTTCAACAACTAGGCTCCTGCCTAATGTTCATTTTAGCCCTTCTTGAATAACTTTCAGTCACAATCAAAAAACTATTGAATCAATGCAACTTTCAATCAAGATTTTAAAATTAAATTTATTTACCTGTCAAAATTGTGATTCTGTTCTTCAGCATATGGTAGGCCTRAAAATTAATAAATTGAAGACTTTACAGTCTTTTGCACAAATTATGAGACATTTATATATATATAAATATACCTAACCAAATATCAAAAACACCCAAGAAATTATGGGATACCGTCGCTGATATTTTGTCTGTAACAACCTGATGCTAGGCAATCATGACAAAATATAATAGAGATATACCATAATTTCTGGGGTGTTTTTGATATTTGGTTAGGTATATTTATATATATAWAAATGTCTCATAATTTGTGCAAAAGGCTGTATGTATATGCAGTTTGCTATTAACATGCATAAAGGCACTGGCTCAAGCATATAATTAAGTGACTTACGACGTAAGTGCTTGTCTTTGCGGTATCTGCTATAGATATCTTCAATCTTGGATGTTAGACTTGACACCAATGGAAATCTTATATTTTGGGAATAATTACAAATAAAATTACAAAAAAATAATTACAAAAATTTATTAAATAATATCGATGATGAAATTAATGTTATTGCACAAATGCTTCATTCAGCGTAAAATACAACCATTTGAACTGTAGAGTGCATGTCACATAAGTACGAAACAATTCTTAATATGTATTGCTAAAAATAAGATTTAGTTATCAACTAACTAAGAATTCAACAAAGCATAAACACAATGCCAATTATTTAAATTCCTTTGTAGCATTGTTCTCAATTCTTAGTTAGTTGATAACTAAATCTTATTTAGCACTACATACTAGTTAAGAATTTTTTCATGTTTMTGTGACTTGCACTCTATTTATAGAGCGATAATAAAGTGAAAAATGATAACAAATTAAGTCAGCTTACAATGATTTTCCTCTTGCTTGCTTACAGAAAGTGGAGAGAGAAGACGCATATGTATCATTTTCCACAAAGTCACACTGGAGGACTTTGATTTTTTCAATGAAATCCTTGACTTTATCAAGCTGAAAATCAATGAATTATATATGATATAAATAGACAATCAAATTATAGCTTAAYACAATCAATTGTTTAACATAAATAGCCATTGAATGTTAAGTAACAATGAGGCCCTGTTAGGGTCTTAGGATTACRCATTATTTAACGTTTTTAAAGGGTGAGATATGGATTAAGATATATGGATTAAGATTAAGATTATGGATTATTTGTGTCAACAATGCGCTTAAGAACTAGGGATCTCTCTATTATTGTTCTGCGGCATTGCAACTTTCCCACGTACGAATGTCTAATGGTTTTCACACTGATTATATATCAACCTATGGGTAACACATTTTTGAAATAAAGTGTGGCTAAACTCTATTTTGAAACAAAGTTTCTTTTGTATTAAAAGCTCTTATCCAATCATAAGCACTCAAAACAATAGCCAAAAGATGCTTCTAATTTGCTATGTTCCCCAAGTAGAATTGCCTTTAATATTGAAGCTAAAGAAAGCTTTCATGAAAGTGAATACAGACATCAAATAAAATATTAGAATTGCGCTAACTTGTAAAATTATAGCAGATTTTCATGTTTTAACCAATGGGATGGATGGATTATAGAATGCACTATTAGCACCTTCTTGTATTGCATTGCCGTTTGTTTCCCTAGTTCTTACTCAGGGCATTACTTAAATTAAAAATCTTGCTGGTGATAGGGTCATGTAATAAGTTGCAGACTGTAGTAAAAATCTCACACTACAAATCTTATGCAAAATAAACGGAACACCCTACCCCCTTTGGCCCCACTACAAGGTTGCACACACGTTCCTTTCCTCATCCTTGTCAATTTTGTAGCAATTTTCATTGACGAACAACATTGTAAAAGGGGAGGGGAGATTGTATAGTTGTAGCACAATCACAGACAGTGTTTCACACAATKTTGCAAAAGATTGTAGATTTTCGGAGCTGTGAAATGAGAGTTACAATTTTTGATCGTTTAATTTTCATTTTATCAAGTTGTGTATAACAACTGTATTATATGTACTTTTAATTGGAAAGTTATTTCACCGTCCAGTAGCAGGATCCAGAGACCTTTCTAGTCCTGCGTTAACATTCCCCCAGTGTTTCATGAGTTCAATGACTGTAAGCCATCTTTATTTGAACTGCGTCTCTTGTAGATTACATGTGCTTATGATATATAACATGATTGACAGATATTATTACGTAAGAATACCGGAAGTGGTACACCGGAAGTACACATATTGTAACACCCAGCTTACCTCTTGGTTGCTTTGTCTTTTATTTTGTATTGAATGCTTGATCATAGTAAACTCATCCTCGATGGATGACTTCTCTCCTTGATAAAATATCAATAAATCAGTATAAATTATGTTTAATTATTAAATAATACTTTTTAACTATGAGAACAACTTTACAATGTTCAGGGAATAGATAGAGCGGATTTTCGTATGACTGTCCAAAAAAAACATGGTACGTTCGTGCTGTGTCCGTACCGTGCCGTAGCCGTGATGCATTGGAAAATCTTTACTTTCATTTGAAATCCTAGAAGGCGAGGTTCCGTGATCGGYCGTGCCGTGTCCGTGTTGTGATCCGTGCTTTTGCACAGTTATGCGCAATCTAGCATAGAAGCCGTAATTGCCTGCACTGACATGCCATTCAGATGATAAATGAATCAATAATCAATACACTATAATTTATGATATGATTGTATAAATTACCATCAGAGAGTTTGATATGAGACATCAGCCTTTCTAGCAACGTCATGAAATGAACCTGACTAAGAAAAACACAAAATTAAGTTAATAAATCAATAAATTATAAATATGTCTCAWTGATGAAAAA